GGACGGAAGCAAAGGAACGCGACTCAAAGCAAAAATAACGAGTTGTACCCTCCTTAATCACGAAGATGTTTCATGGCTATAGAGCGAACGCGTCTTTGATCATAAACCGAAGCAAAAGGACTTATAGCCACTGTCGATAGTGACCTATGAAACAAGGGATAAAAACTTTCACACTTAACTCGAAAATATGACTTCATCTTTGAATGAACTCGCCAGAACGGGATCAAGCGAATAATGTCAAGAAAAAAACATATTATGAACATTATTGACGAAAGAAACATCACGCAAAACCAGAAAAATTTCACGAAGTCGTGCATCATTTCATCACTGCTGTACCTAAAATACAACATTAACCATAATTAATAAGATATATTCACTTTCATATAGCTAATGACCTAAATACTACCTGGTACCGTTGATATGACGCTTTCAGCATGCCAAAAGATTCGCATTTTGCCAGCAATTCGCGAAATACGTCTACTGATCGCAAATGGCAAAACAACGGAACGTGTAATGACATAAATCTTTCCCTACGGAGCAAATTCCAACTACTGTCGTGTTAGGAATGGTTACTGTAAGACTGTCTGAAGCTCAACGAATTCCCAACGATATTTCCAGACAGCTAATCAGTGAGTCTGTCAGCTTCGATGGCCGCTCAACCTCTCAGGTTTATGAGGAAAAAGTGTCAGACAGGGTCTCAAAACCCCCTTCCCGACCTTGTGTCTGAGCTTCGTCAAGAAATAAAGGATGTCTGGAACAAATTCTGTCAAGGTACATTCACCAAGGCATTTTTGTCCTCTCCCGAGATCTTCGGCCTGGCAGCTGAGCAAATAGTAGTTGTTTTTTCCTCCTTTCCGGAAGCTTTCACAAAACTTGCTCGAACTATCGCAGCTGTGACTTCTGAATCTGAAGAAGCAGCGGCTATACACCAAAGCTTTCTCGGATGTCTAAGCTCTGGACTTTGCCGAGACCAATGAGTCCAGAAATATGTCTCAGGAAGCCATTTTCAGCGCCTGTACTTGAGATAGAATTTTTTCCGGTATGGTTAATGAGTTATGGCCATAGGTGAGCATGGAAACGAAAAAAGACTTGAACGCATACAGATTCGTCTTTATACTAAGCTATGCTTTTGTCACAACGGTTAGGAATAATTTTCGGAGATCGCTTTCCAGTTTCCCCGTCAATCATTTTTCCTACCACTAGTAAACGCGATCTAAATGTATGTGAATTTTCCACCGGTCCCACTGTCCCAACGCCTATCTGCAGAGCGCAACAGGCACAGAATCGAGAAAGCACTAGGTTTATGCTGGCAAACAAGTTCACATATATGCCGGCCAAGTCGGACTCGCAGAGCACGCTGAAAATTGGTTTCTGAAGTTGCTAACAAGTGTCGTCTGCAAACAGCAAACTTTACTTTAAGTATACTACTTTGATACACTCGGCATACAGTCTATACCTGATTGTTCCATCCATGAAAAACGCAAGTACAGAAAACACCCCTGACGGCGACCAATTTCAACGTTGAAAGGACTTAACGACGCTTAATTTGACGCACTACCTTCTATAAGCATACAGTAAATTTGTGGCTCTTAATAACGGGTTATCGATCCCATTCTGCAGGTATGCCCACAGCTTGTTGCACTGGATCCGGTATTAGGCTTTTTCCGTGTGTACAAGACACTTGTAAGCCGGATGATTAAACTTCCGTTTCTCAACAGTCTGGTGTAGGACAAAGATCTGGTCAGAGGTGCTGCTTTAACCAAACAAGCGAATGCCACACTGCTCTTCTTAGATCTTGGAATCCGCTGTTCCGCGGCACTTTGTGTACACTTTACTCCGGAGGTTCAGTGAAGTAATCCCCAATAATTGGAGCACTCCTCGTCGCCTCACTTCTTGAACAGGGATACTCTAACTTCAGTTTATCAGTCTACTGCTGTTTCTCTCGTAGTCACTGCAATTTGACAGACACTTGTCATAATCAGTTTTGTCTGCCAAAAGTTTCAATTGCATTTCAGCAGTCTTGCAACGTCTGAAGCCTTTAACAGCTTCTATGATTTTATCTACTAAAAGACTGTTGCCTGTTGCCGTTGCTGACTGATAACCGTTGCCTGTTGTTCTTCAGGTTAGTTTCCCTGCGCGGGAGTTAAGAAGTTCCTTAAAGTACTCTCGCTACCGTCGAAGTATATCCTCTTCCTTGGTAAAAACATCCCTGGACGTGTCCTTCAGTACTCTCAGACTAACCTCTTTTCATATCGGAGGAGGTGGATCGTCTGCAGGAATGTTTTCTTACCGTCTGGGAATTCTGCTCCAGCACCTCAAAGAACCCTTCTGATGAATCAGCTTTTGCTTTAGCAACTGTTTTAGCTGCTGCCTGATGCGCCTCTTCGTACCGCATTCGAGTTCGTGGCTGTGAACTTCCAAGCCACCTCTTGGGCACAACGTTCCAACAGCCAGCTGAACCCCGTGGTAGCCATCATTATGTTTATTTCTGACCAAACGGCGGCAGTCCAGCATTTTCAGCAGCCCCCAGTAAAACTCTTTGAAGAGCCTTCACTCAATTTCTTCATCGAACATTTCCTATCACCACTGGGATCTGTTCAAACCAGATAGCCAATTATGGTTAATTATTGGTTCTGAAAAAAATACCCTTAAAAAGAGGTAAATAGAGAATAATGCTAGAAAAGGGCTGAATTACTGCTTCTCAGGAGACTACAGGATTTATCCGTCTTCAAATTTTCTCCGTTAAAACAACTTCTGTCTTTGTGTATTCCTCAACCAATGAATTATTCAGGTAACAAAACTATCTTTGCAGAAAGTTAATGAATGTCGCCCATACCATCCAGGCACTCTTAAACGACGTGTTGCAGATGCCATATAACTTTCTATAGATAAACATAAAAAAGTCGCAATATGACGTATTACACAATTGTCTGGGCTTAACAGTAATGAAACGTCTAATTACCTTCTCAAGTAGGGAAGAAGAGAAAATGAACCGTGAACTTTCGGACCTGTGAGACCTTAAATCTCCCTGGATACTTCATTGATGGTTTTGACATTACGGAACAAATCAACATGCGTCAGTTTACAGCACATTATTTAAACCTTGCTTTTTGTTATTAGCTATTAACATTGCACAGCTGTTTGTTGGTATAAGATAAATTTAGATTAGTAAGAGAGGTTCAGTTGAAATTGACAATAGGAGGGCAAGTGAAGAAAGAAATTCGTAATATTGCTATCAAGACAATAAGTTAACGCATACAAATGGAATGACTTTCTTACTCTGCATCTATCTATTGAAATTATTCGATATTTTCTCAACAAATGCTAATTTAAAAACGGAAAGATTTTTGCCCAAATAAAGCATCGAAAATATGGGTTCGAACGTTGAAGTACGCTAAGGGGACAATCCAAACCCGGATTTCACGTTAAACGTCAGAGATGCACATGGAGCCACTTCAGCCGGATACTGTTGCACAGCAAATGAGCAAATATTTAGAATGTTTTGCGAAAGTAAACTTAGTCAGCTGAAAATTCACTGGTAACATGCAGTGTACTGCTCCGGTCAATAAAATGTTGTGAAATGGATCAATGGAAGGCGGGAACTCCAGACAGGTGAAACCGTGGTCTGCCTAAGTGGTCCACTAGACCTGCTTGGTCAAAGAGTCAGTGGTGTCAAATGCTATGAAACCTGACTATTAAGGATTTGATCACTTATTAAATATTATTTTCGAAGCACGGGCTAAGCTTGTTAACAATACAAACAATTACATCAAAATTTAATCTAAAATTTAATTAAATCGGTCAGTGCTAATAGTAAATTGTCGCTTGCCCTGATTCCAGCTTTGTTACTGTCGTCAGTTTTCACACAAATCTGGAGAAGATCGCGATCTACGCACAGTAACAACTGTCTTGTTTTATTATATTGGTCCATCGGCTGATAGTAAGGCACATCAACATAAAGTGCAGTACGAAACAGCTTTGCATTGAACTTTATTTATGCTCGGGATGGCATCTTAGTTGTAAGCTTTAGCAACTTGCTTACGTACTTGTCAAGCTCAGTCTCGCAGTTAGACAGCTGAAAATTTTAAATACGTTTACACCTGCCGCCGAAAGTCGCTGATTTGAATGCCTTACATTTATTGAATATATAATGTGGTAAAATTTACAGTGCTTAAAGGCTTACACAAACACATTTTCTTCGTTTCCGATACACTTATCAAAACTTTTTCCTCTGTTTCTTGTTATTTCAAGCGAAGATTATATAGCATTGATTGTTATTCTTCGACAAACAACATACAGATGGCCGCGTCATATAATACATCTTAAGGCAACGAATTTATCAGCACCCGCAGCTGAAATGTGAACAATATTCATGCCAGAAGAATTCCTTATAGATGGCTCTAGAATCTCTTTCCATAACGGCAAACTTGTTGGAGCTCTTTAAAACGCTCATATTCAGAAATCTTTAATTCCAAAACTGAACATCTTAACAACGTGCGTACATCCAAGTCACAGAGAACGACACATGCAGGGAATCATGCACAAATCAAGCACAAAGGTGATGAAACAGCCTAGGCAGGACATCGGCCACGTCAATAATTAATAGAAGAACACTTACCCAACAGTGGTCATTGTTACAATGGCCCACCACAGTCCAAGTGGAATACTGATAAAGTCATTATCCGGATTGGACTCAATGCGTTCAGCGTAATAAATTAAGGCCGCGAAAATTACTATACCGAGTACCAGAAAGAACACGAGCAAAATCAACTCTTTGGCGCTGGCTCGGAAAGTATGTATAAGAATTTTTAGTCCACTGCTGTGCTGCGTTAATTTGAACAGGCGCATAATCCGGATAATGCTGAAAAATTCGACCAAATCCTTGTTAGCGGACATGGCGTATTCTTTCAAAAGAAAGTCCATGAAAAAGCTAAGTGTCGCCTAAAAAGTACTAGATCAGCATCACAAAGCGAATACATGGCAAGCATTCAACAACATTAGTATGAAAAGCAACTTTGAGGATCGCCTGAGATATGAATACGTCGCATTCAATAAATCCTTGTGAGAAACGGATTCTGAAGCACAAATAAACCCACATAAACAGGGCGTGACCTTCATAAACCATGCTCGTATCCGTATTACCGATGTTCGATAACTCCAAAACAGCGTACTTGTTATAGCATACTGAGGTGACTTATAGTGGGGTGAATTCGGCCTAATCATACGGCAACCGCAAGAACTTGATACAATCACCAAAACGGTCGGCTAAGGAAGCAATGGCGCTAGAGCTGACAGATTACTTTATTGCAAGAAGCCAATCTCCTGCGTAAAAACTGGCAGTATTGAACTGAGAGTTGCTGTCTGTATTTTTGGCTGACTCGAGCATGATAAACATATTACGTATCACTTTTTTTCTGTGTAGGAGACGCTATTTATTGGAGTTCAGAGACAGGATACAACTGATTGCAGTACGCGTTGCAGCCGTATAAAAAATTGTAATTTAGAAATGATGCAACAATCCACAATCCAAACCGGTCAATTCATACTTTACTTCTACCCAATCTACAAGAGAAAATTGTTCAAACTCAACCGTGTCTGATTTTTACCAAGTTAAACAAATCGGTTGGCAATTCTTAACGTTTTAGTTCGTTTCAGAATTCAACACCTGGAATGACTTATCATGAATATGAAGCTATATCTAGTCAGCATAAAACAGTCCACTGTTTTTAATTCATCTCTTGCAGACAAATTCACAATTCGTACTACTTCTATAAAAACTGGTGAATAGAAAGCTGTTAATTACTTCATGTAAAACGACGACCCATTACGATAAACGTAATGGTTGCAAAAATACGATTACCTGAAACAGACAATGGCAAAGGAACGGGAACAGTGGCAACGACAGATGCACAGGATTGCATAGTGGGGAAACTACAGCGAAAGGAATTCACTTTCGGCATTACATTAGTTGGCAAAGCCTCGTATTATGCTGAGATGCTCCGCTATTGATGTAATCTCTACGCCATTGCCGACGATTAGCAAGGACTATTGTAGCAAAGAGGCACAAACCTGACATATTCACAGAGCCCGAAAAGTCACAAAATCGTTATACATTAAACCACTGATCCGGAAAGCCGCAAGCTATGGATGTAAAATATTAAACACAGAGGAAGCAGAACGCAAGTCTAACTGGAAAAAATTAATTGTGATGCAGAGAGCATTGCTGCATCTCCTAAGAAGATCATAAATTCAATGAACCAGCTAACATGCCGCCAATCAGAACTCGCTTTCTAATGGCACTAGAAAGAGAAATCGACGATATGCTGGTAGTATAGCATGAAACAAATGTCGAACCTCTGAAGAAAGTGATACCGTCAAGTAGATTATATGGCCGAAAACTGAATATCATTTGAATTGGTATATAAAAAAATGGAGCAATTCCAATAGCCAGTATTGTTCTCCGAATTATGAAAGGCTGAAAAAATTACGTGAAGCAACGCATCATGTTAAATACATTTTGAATAGGTAATGAACTCTGACTGGATTGGATTGTCGGACAATAAAATCCTTCAAATGATAAGTAGTGTGGAATTCTCTCACAATCCTGATCATAAAGTTGCTCAGACCATTAAGCTTCAACAGCAGTTACTTGGCCTGATCTTAGGAATCCGTAATACCGTTTTAAACACAACAACATTTCTATCGACGATACATCGAACAACGTCAAGATATTGAGCACACTTAACATAGGAACTGGCAATGTATTTTAGTTTTTGTTGTTAATTTTCCAGTCGTGTAAAACTCTGTGCGTCATTCGCACCGCAATGAAGCGCCTGTTAAGCATGTAAACGGTGGAAGCATATTATGCGGAATAAAATAACTACTAATTATTCATTAGGGTATTAAGTTAATTGTACAACATCTTAAAGTGGTTTACGTCGAAACGGTATATCAGCTCGAGAGCGATCGATTTTGCCTCGTACACTGAACGCAAAACAGCAACGAAAGCAGAGGCTAGCGCAGCAGTCTCACCTCAACAACTTAACCTAAATGGCGTATTGCACCATTTAGACAGCACCGCAGATAAAATGTAAAGTGTACTTTATTACTGTCACTAGTAATTCTTGAGTAATTTCGCCTCCTTTTATGCGAGCGGTGACGCAGAGGGAAGTCGTTCGGTTTCGTCAAGTCGAAGGTGTAAGTTCGAATACCAGTGCGGCAAAAAATTGCCTTACGTGCGCTGATGTCTTTGAGCAGAATTCATCGAACTGTACTTCGATGCTATCAGCAGAGAAACTGGTAGCGAGCTACTGATCAGTAAACAATAAGGATAACATAGTGTTCCAGTGTGGTCGTGCCAGAGCTTGCAAAAATTGTGAAAATACTGCCTAATGAGCGAAATTTACAACTGCAAGCGCCTTAGCCCACCTGACAGTTTGTCAATATTAGCCCAGAGTGCAACCTATTCAGGACATTCTGTTAAGCAAGTTCCAAGTTCGAGCAAATTTTCAACAAATGCAAATCTTAAGCGTTCCGAAAGCCTCGCTGTAGATTCTAACTGATTAACACAGATTCGCAATCACACCAAATCAAGCCCAACGTCATATTGCTACAGCAACCTGCTGCTGCTCCATTTTTAGTGACCTTAAGGTCAGGTTTATTAGCTTGTGCAACAACTGTTGCTATTAGCAAAGCACATCCTTACACAACATTACTCTGTGATCATAAGACCGTGAAATATGTATACACAAGAGGTACAGAATGGCACGTAAAAGTAATTACTCTTGCATCACTGGCTGTCTCAGAGTCCATGCTAGAAAATGTACGATGGATCGCCAGTAAAGTTCAGTTCGTTCGCGTTGGGAAAGTGTTGAATCTGATGTGAGTAGCATGGTGAAAGGATAAAGCGCGCTGAAACTTCGGGTGCAAAGTGTACTGATCTTCAGTAACAGCCTTGCGCTCAAATCATAGACAGGAAACGGCATCCAAAATTGGTATAACGGGCAAAGTATATATACGCAAACTATGTAATCGCCTATGCTAATCAGAACTGAAAAAAATAGAATTGCAAAAAAGCTGGCCCGTTTAATCCGCTCCATTTGGCTGCTACGATACAGTTTTGATCTGAAGATGATGTACGATGCAATGCAGAAACGTTACTTCGGGCTATCTACCAGTAAATTCAAAAGTAACTGTAGTAACAGAAGAATTTCAAATTCCCCATGCATAATCTAACATCGAGTCGTCGTTAAGTAAGTCGTAGAATAGGCGAATTCTGACTGTTTACCTAAAAAATTATTGTGGCAAACTATCCGCCGTCAGCGCATTGGAAGATCAGATGGTACCTGACGTGTGGAAATTTCGGATGGAAATCTTATCAGCTGCGAAGAAAGCATCAACCAACGTTTAAAAGAATCCTATGAGGACCTTTCACATCTAATCTCTGCAAATCTTGGAGATATTAACAAAGTCTGCATTGCAGCTTGAAGTTTATAAGTTCTAAAGCGTCTCGCAGTTGTCAAAATAACAGCATGGATTAAATCGCTAAGAGGTAATAGAGCTTCAGTGGAGGCCGCAGTCCAACCCTTAAATATCAAAGCCTCAAATCGTGGTGATATCCCGGATATATTTCGATTTGCTTGGAGATCCGAAAAGGGATCGACATGACAATTCGAAGAGGCCATCCTGCGTTGAGAAAATGGAATCTAAGGGACTGCAGAAACTACCGAACCATTCCGCTGTTCATTTTTCTGGTAAAGTCTGTTCAGGGAGTTTAAAAAGGAGATGCTCAAAAATGCTAGAGCGAAAGGTTCAGGGGGACTGAAAAGACGGAAATGAAAAGATGTTTAAATCAGTCTACCAGCAGTCGAATCGTATGGCCGTGACTTTCTATGAACATGGGCTTCCGTCAAAGTAGTCCCGCTTTCGATGCCGCTACTTGCAGGACTTCCTAACGTCCAATTATAGATTAATACTAAATGTAATGGATTACGCATAACAAGCTACGGAATTAATCGATTTCAAAGCCAAGATGCATAAATTTCAAACTATTTCGATTTAACGTCATGTACAATTAAGTGCATTAATAAGTGAGTTTGAGGCGTCTAAACGAATATAAGTGTCAAAGTTTAACTTTGGTCGACTTTCCACCACGAAAATAAAACGAAGCAAGTGCAACTCTCTTCCTTAATTAAAAATTTAGCGTTGTAATCGTCAGTGTACCAGCACTGAAAATCTGTTTTTAGTAACACAGTAACGATAGACAGCTTCGAAACTTTCAGTTGACTAACAACCTATGTAAGTGAAAACACACCGTGCGAATGCGCAGTCAACCAACAAGTCACTCTGTAGCATGGCACCTGAAACAGGATGGCCCTGCCCAGATTTCCCAATTGATTGATTATATTTAATGTTCCATAAATGTGTCTTAGTATGTCTGCTTTTATAATCCTTAGTCTCAGGAAAAACTCCTATGACGCTCAATTCTGATACCTACATTACAGCGATATAGTGCTTTTACTGCTATAATGATCATTGAAAGCTTAAAAAAATTTCCTTGAATTCATGCCAACTGACTCCTTTCTTTCTCATAAAAAATTAAGAAACTCAGCGAGTAAGCACAATCATAGTTGAAACCAACAGACAGAAAAGTTTCCCGCCCCTTCTACCCTAATGTGTCGTAAAGTCGTCAACTACCGGTAGAATGTACAACGTCACTGCCAATGCGGATTAACTGTCCGAAAGGAACAGCTGAAACTCTTAGTTTGATATTACCACTATCGTTCGCATGGAATTATCTTCGCCCTTTGAAACAAAGTAGGCAGCGTCCAAAGGTAGTGTAACAGAAGAAACTTTAGACTTATGTCTAAATATAGTTGTTACAAGTATTGCCTGAGACAAGTGGAAGAGCTAAGGTTTCATGCGAGAAAGCTGCACAATGATACATACACATAATCGAAAAATTCTTTGCTGTATTTTTCTACACATTTCATTTGCAATATGCTGCTCTTCATCTGTCGATGGAGTGGTTTTTCGAGTATGGAGTTCAGGTGTTAGTTCACAACCATAAACAGGGTTAATGCTGCTGGTTTCATATGC